AAGATAAAGAAGAAATTGAAAATCCTGTAAGGGTGTAATCGCAGTGATGCCAAATCAATCTGTTAAATTGATTCTTCAAAATTTTATTTCAAAATGAGATAAATTATTTCTTGTAGGGTTGAAAAAAATTATGGTCGATTACTGTTCGATGTGAAATTTGAAGGGACAAATAGACATTTTCGCTTGGTTATGAAAAAAAAAAGGATGTTTGAAAGATAAATGGGCAAATTACTTTTATAGAGAGAGTATGGGGATACTTCAGCCAAAGATCAGGCCTTATGGTAAAGTTTGAAGATTCCCAGCTTCTTACAATAAAAACCAGCAAGGACGACGGTATGTATTCTGGGAAACAAGCACGGAATCTGTTATTGACTACTATAAGTACGTTGATGGAGTAAACATCGCGCAAAGTGGAAAGACTTTTGTGACAATTTTTAGATATGGGGATCAATCTGCAAACCACAAGAGGGAACTTGAAGATTCCTGGAAAATCGAAGAGGTGGATTTCAACATTTGGGGTTTGAATACAGTATTCTTTATGCCCCCTTTAGACTTCAAGGAAAAACAAATCTGTCGAGTGGCAGTTAAGTATAAATGATGATTGAATTTGCTATTTGCAAATTAGAGATATCTTGCATGAGAATAAGGTGCTCAAATAGAGAGCGTATTTCCATAGTCATTTCGAGAGCATTTTTGTCAATCCTAATCTCTTCTCCATATTGAGTAGATTGTAAACTTTCGACGGCTGATTTAATTTTGTTGGTTTCTGAAGTTACATTGGTCATAATTGTGTTTATGGCTTTCGAAGGCCTGGTCTGTTACACAATGCTTGATATGTGAATTCTTGCTGACTTTGATGATTTTCTTTTCTCAATTTTGTTCATTGTTTGTGCTTGATTGATGTAGAGGTGTTGAGTGTTGCCCAGTAGGGTCCTTACAGTGGACTTGGCCGGGAACAATGGCTAGTGGCTCGCTTTGGGAGTTTGTAAAAGGGTTAAAACCATTGGCTGTTGACCACTTGGTCTAGAGTAGATTGGGCTTGTGAGTTGTGGTGGACCATAAAAAACTTTGCATTAGAGAATATTACGTATAAACAGATAATTAAATTTGAGGAATTACTTAATACCAGTTGTTTAATTTTTACAATTCAAAAATCAAGATTACGGTTTCATTATTTACAAATTAGGTATTAACATAATAATTAAATATTAAATATTTCCATACAATTCAATTACAAACTTTATCATTTCATTCTTCTTGCTCACTCTCCATCTTCTTCCTCTCCCTCTCATGTCCTCCTCTTTGTCCACCGTCGAAGCACTCATCATCGCCACGCGATGCTGCTGCAATGAAGAGATCGAAGCCTCAGCGAGCGAAAGCTCAGTAGCAGTGATCTGTACATGAAGTAGCTGCTGAAATCTTCTCCGATTTGTGTACGTTTGTGCATAGCCACACATTTTTCCTTCTAACAGAGGCATTCCATCCATTATTGGAGATGGCGGCGCTGTGAACACCGTTATCCACGACTCTGGTTGGTTTTTTTTTTTTTTTTTCTCGTTGGTTGCGTGGTAGATTTGATGGTTAGGGTGTGTTTTGGATGGTGTTTTGTGTGAGGGTGATAGTTTTGTGTGGTGGTCGATATGGCAGCTTTGGGATGTTGAATCGCCTGCATAGTAGCATCACCACCAAAAGAGACCTGTCATGAGGTTGTGGTCATTTTTGTTGTTAGCGATGGCTATGGTGGTGTTGTGGCAGGACGAGATGGGAAAGTGATTGTAACTAACTATTTAGTTGATTTGTGACCAAGTATTGATGGTGGATCGGTATCGATGGTAAGGTGTTTTGTGTATGTAACCAACGATTTGGATCTTTGCAACTAACTATTAAACTGTGACCTTAAAATTCGATAGTTTGGGATCAAAAATAAATCGTGACCTATAATTTTTTGATTTGTAATGAAATAAATTGTGACCTATAAAAAAAATTTATTGTAACCTCAAAATTATATGTAACCAATTAATTTAATAATATGTGACTAATAAATAAATTGGGACCTATAATTATGTACATGTGATCATTAATTGTGCAATCGTGACCTTATTATATTTGATTAATAAATATTTTTTAATTAATTAGCTAATACTTGAGTTTTGCATTAATTAAACTTAAAACCTGATTTTTGAATTGTATGAAGTTAATGATTTGTGAAATTTTTTCCTTTAAATTTTTCAATTCAAAAATCAGATGTGATGTTTATTTAATAAAAAATCAAGTAATAATTCAATTTATAATTATTAAAAAATATATATAAATTAAATTAATTTGCCTACCTCCACCCCTCCATCCAACCCACACTTCCAAAGCATTACACCATTCGCCTCTCTTCTCCTTCCTCTCTATTTTCTCTCTCTCTTTATCCAAGTTCACAATCGTTGTCGCCACCACCGCCACATTATCTCCACTTGCATCGCCACATTATCTCCACTTGCACCACCACTGACAATCAACTAACAGCCATCTCAAAGTTTAGCTAAGCATATCATAGGAAGAAAAGATCATCCAAAGCCACCCCCCCCCCCCCCCAAAACACAACAAAAAAACCACCCCCCCCCCCTTTACCCACACAAACCAAAGTATATTTGCTCAACATTGTCCCGGTGTTACCCCCCAAAAAACATCTATAAACCATCACCACCACCCTTTACGCTAACAATCAACACAAACCAAAGTATATTTGCTCAACATTGTCCCGGTGTTACCCCCCAAAAAACATCTATAAACCATCACCACCACCCTTTACGCTAACAATCAACACAAACCAAAGTATATTTGCTCAACATTGTCCCGGTGTTACCCCCCAAAAAACATCTATAAACCATCACCACCACCCTTTACGCTAACAATCAACACAAACCAAAGTATATTTGCTCAACATTGTCCCGGTGTTACCCGTCCATAGAGCGGCCTATTGTTGTCCATTTATAGTTAGCCTCGTCCACAAATCTCCCCATCATTGCTATTGCTGTTTCTTGAGTATGGTAAGATTTGGTGGCAGGTAGTGTTGCACTCGAAGCAACAATGAGACGTGTTATCACGATCTGGTATGACGATAGTTGAGCACTCATCGTCGTTGCTTCTAATCTGAGAGTGGTTGATCCATAGTGGCGCAGATCTCTTATTTCCTTTCATTTTTTCCTTTTAATTCCTAAATTGATATCTCCAATTGTTATGATGGTTTGTGTGGCCGATGGTTGCTATGGTAGTGTTTTTCAAAGTTGTTGTGGTGTATGGTGGTGGTTTTGTGGTTACCCGTTGCGAAGTGACGCGACAACATGTGTGGAGGTGGTCACGGATGGCGCTATGTTGGTAATGGTGGCGCTATTAGGTTGTGTTGGTTGTGGCTGTCATAAGTGGTGGTGGTGGTATGTGACCAACTACTTGGTTAATCTGTAACTAATTATTCGATTATTTGTGATCAACCATTTAATTAACCTAAAAAATCAATAATCTGTGACTAAAAAAAAATGTGACCAACTAATTTGTAAATTTGTGACCAACAAATAAACTATGACTTGTAATTTTTGATTTGTGATCAATAAAATAAATTATGACCTAACAAAATTTTTTATTGTGATTATAAAATAATAGGTGACCAATTAATTTGATAATATGGGATCAATAAATAAGTTGTGACTTATAAGTATGCACTTATGACCATTAGTTATGTAATTGTGACTTTAATATATTTCATTAATAAAATAAATTTAATTACTTAATTAATATCGGCGTTTTGAATTTTGGAACTTAAAACCTGAAAATTGAATTGCACCATACTTTAATACCTGACTTGTGAATTTTTCACTAAATGTGTGTTTAATTGCAAGTAAGAATTTACATGGAAAAAATAAATTTTAGGTAATTAAAACCTAGAAATTATTTGCATATAAATTGTCAATTAAATATGTTTGATTGATTTTATTTTTAATTTATAAAATGTTATACTTGTCCATTTTTTATTGGTAGATAAATGGGAGAGAATGAGTGGATGAGAGAGAAATAGAGAGTGAATTACTTAAAAAATAAAAATTTATTCCTCCTAAAGAAAATATTTTTCTTGCTTTCAAGGAAAATATAGTCTCGTAATAAAAAATAGGAAAATATTTTTCATAAAAAAAAAACAATCAAATAGCACAAAAATAATTTGGATGAAAAAATGATATTTTTCGTGCAAGCACACTCTTCTAGGGTTTGGAGTGTCATGAAAGTAGAAATAGACAAAGAAATGTGGAATTTTAGACCCATGAGTTTGTCACATGGTACGTTATTGTCTTTACAAATTTGTCCAACTGTAAGTTGACATTCATTTAGTATTTTGTGTCGATGTCCATTAATAAGCTTCTATTACATATTCGTACTCTTTTTTTTGTTAACATTCTTATCTCTTCAATAAGTCACAAGCTTTATCTTTTGCATAATTGTTATCCATAATATTCTGATACTCTCCTCCACAAAAATCTGAAAATACAACAAATCGAAAATCTTTGTATATTGTTAATTAATATAAAAAAAAAATTGTTTTGATTTTGAAAATTGAATGTCAACATCTAGTGTGGGTCAACCAAATAGATAATCGAAACTGGAATGTCTGTCTATTTCAAATTTCATTTTCTTTCGACCCACTTCTTCAATCTATTAATAAAATTAATTATGAATACAGTTTGGCTAAAAGTTCGGATCTGTGCCTACAATTTCCTACTTGACTGCTTACTCGATCGACAGAATATTTGTGATGTGGTTAATTAAATAAGTAAAATTTGGCCTCATTAAAATTTTAATACGTTTTTCTTTCTCTTATTTTCAATCCCGCGTCGTTTACTGTACATGATAAGTAATCGTATCATCGTTTGTAAATATTTTTGCTCGCACCTTGAACTATTTTCATCGATATCCTCTGAGCTTACTATCACTTGGTCATTTCCATTACTCACAATTTCATCATCTTAACAACAAAAATTGAACCTACTATATAACTTTTGAGCGCATCTTAGATAAACATCAACTTGATCATTAATCCATGGAACCATTTCTATTACAACTTGATTGATTTGCAAACTACTCTTATGAATATCATTTTAAATCGTATAAATACATTTCTAATACCAATTCTAAGAATTTGGAGCTGGTTCTTCAATTCTGATCCTGATTTCAGCAATCAAACATTGATGCATAATTTCAATTAACTGTTCGCAAGCTCCAATTCCTTCTTGGAATTCTTAGCAATGGAATGTTTGCTGAATATCTCCTCCATATCCTCCAGGCTCCGCCCCTTTGTCTCCGGCAAGCAGAAATAAACGAAAAACAAAGCCAACACCGCCATTCCGGCGTACAAATAGAAAGCGCCGCCTATGGTTATGGCATTCGACAACGATAAAAACGTCATAGAAACAGTGGCGTTCATCACCCTGTTCACTGCCACGCTGACACTGGCCCCCGCCGCCCGGAGCTTCATCGGAAATATCTCTGCGCTATACACCCAACATACAGGGCAAAGTCCCACATTGAAGAACATTATGAATGTATACACAAAGATAAGGCTCATCACCAGTGCCCAGATGAGCTTTTCATCGGATTGTTCAACTACAGTCAGGCAAGTTGCGAGTCCAGTTAATGACACAATCATTCCGGCGATGCTGGTTATTAGGAGCTTCCTCCGGCCAACTCTGTCAATTATGAAGGTGGATATTGTTATAAATATTAATTTAGTGAGACCCACTCCAACTGTGGCGAGCAGAAGCTTTTTCCGGGCTGTAACGCCTGCCTTTTTGAAGATTCTTGGACCATATAGTATAACAGCTTCGGTTCCGGTAGCATGTTCGAAGAAATGAATTCCGACGCCAGCAAGTAACATTCTGCGGACTGTCGGAGTTGGTTTCAACAGCAATTCTTTCCAGACGCCGCCTGTCTGAGCCTTTTGACCGGATTTTGAGATTTGTACAATGTCATCAGTACAATTCTCGTCGATTCCGGCGGCCCGTTTAATGTCTTTTAATCGCTGTTGAGCTTCTTCTTCATCGTCACACACTTTGTACATGATTTTCTTGGCCTCTCCAATTCGGCCCTTCATTATAAGCCACCGTGGGGATTCCGGCATCTTCAGAATTCCGATGGCCAAGATAAGTGAAGGGATTGCTGCAATTCCGAGCATCACCCGCCACCCGAGTTTCAGTGTCAGCTTTGCGAACAAATTGTTGGATATATAGCCAAGTAAAATTCCAATGCTGATGCCAATTTCTGGTAAAGATGATAGGAATCCTCGGGTTTTTGGAGACGATATTTCGGCTGCATAAACGGGTGCTATCATGAGTGCAAAGCCTACGCCGACGCCGGCGATGCACCTTCCGGCCAAAAGAACGTTGTAATTTGGAGAATAGCCCATTAAAACTGAACCAAGCATGAAGATTAAGGATGCCAATGCTATTGTGTATCTTCGGCCAATGTAATCAGAGGTTCTCCCGGCGCAGAGAGAACCCACAAGAGCGCACAGGTTAAGGATTCCGGCGAGCACTTCCAGTTGAGCTTCCTTTACTTCGAATTCTTCTTTTATGAAAATCATTGCTCCACTCATAACACCCGTATCTACAAGCAACAAACATTGTAAATCAGATTACTCGTACTTATTTAATCTTCGTGACATGTTTAGTTTTTTAAGTTGTGCAAAATTTTCATGGGACTTAAGAAGATAGCAGCGAAGCTTGTAAAAAATAGAAAAGTTTTCTTGTTATTCATAGAAGGATGTCAATATAATATTGAATTTTGAATGATCCGTTGAACCCCGCTTCAATCCATGATGCCTAATCAACCAATATTGGAGTAAATTGTCTCGACTGCTTTGCTTATATTTACTTACCAGCTATCTCCAAATTTAAGATATCAGAATCTAGTCTTCAAAGCATAGTCAACTTTTATGCAACCTCAAACATATTTTGATTGTGTCATATCAAGATTATACACCATAAGAATCATAAGTATGAATAGAGCAATTATATAAACGTGATTTAAAAAGTAGCAACAAAAGTTCAGATGTTGAACTCCAAGTAGAATCGTGCATATTGAAGTAACATACCTTGTGATCTCATACTTTAGTATATTTATTTTTTAATTCCCTCTTTTGGCTCTTATGATCCATTTTCTAGAATCAAACATGTGTATACACGTTCGCCGAAAATTCAACAAATAAAAAGAACGCATAATTCATCTCGACAACTGAACATGGAAAATATATGAAAAGGATGGGTCGGGATCCTGGTGAAAAGCTTACCATAGCCGAATATGATAGATATCATCGAACCAACAATAGCACAAGCACAGGCATACTTGTTAAGCCTTCTTTGGTTCTCCCCTCCAACTACACTTTCCATTGTTATTTGCAAAAACAACACTATCCTCCTATACTATACTGATACTGGTTTCTTGATTCTTTCGATCCAAAACTAACACAATATATATAATACTTTGGCTGTATACTTCAGATGAAGAAAAAGTAAACACTTGACAACATGCACAGTTCTGGTGGAACCCACAGAGTTCCCTTCGCCAACTTGAGGATATTTTTCTATACACACAAGACAATCAAGACCAAGTGGAAACAAAATATTCCAAATAAGATCTAAATTATTTATTTCGAGCCAGTATACACAAAGAAAAAAAGGGTCCAAGAATATACTTATATAAAAGATAAGAAAATAATATAGAATGTGGGCTTTTCTGTAAAGAATAATTATTAAAAAAAAATATTGATTCAACTGCAGGAAGAACAAATACATTTGCAATTTTCCTCTTTTCCTAATTCAAAGAATACTGCATCATTTCCTTCATTTGTGTGTGTGTAAGAGGATTTTTAGACAATTTTGTTTTGACAATGTTTGTGGATAACTAAGAACCCAAATCGTAACCTATTTCCCCATAAGACGCCGGGTTTGACATACATTATTTGGAAATGCATATATTGTGTTTTTTTTTTGTGGTATATATAATTTATGTGCGCAATATTGCAATTGTCATAGTCAAAGTTGAACGTGCATTACACGTTATTCTAAAATATATTATAAGTGATGTAAAAATAATATTAGATACTAATTTGTTGGAGGATTTGATGAGTCTCAAACGAATTAAAAAAAACTATAATTTTGCATAGAAATTTAAGAGAAGAAAATTATATTCAAATTGTACTCTAAAAACTCAATTTCTATGAGTCAAATTTTTTGTAATGATTAAATATTATAAATGGGCAATCTTTTATATTACATTTGATATATAAAAATTAATTGTTAACAAATAAGTTCAAATACCCATTAAAAATTTTAGATACGTGAATATTAATAAATTCATTTATGATAATTCAAAATTCATCAAATGAAAATTCATTGAATCTAGATTAATGTTAATGTTAATTAATTCATAATTGATAACATATATTTCATAAATGACAATAATTTTGTAATATTTATTACATATTGAAAAACGAAAAGTAGGGTCCTATTGAAATAATTGATTTGTAGGATGGTTAAAATCGTCCAAAAAATAATTTTCATTTGATGTGATATTTGTGCATTTGATTGCCAATATTTTCTAGGAAAAATGTGTTTTTCTACACAAATTCCTATTTTTGTGTTGTTTGATTGCTATTTTTTTCATGAAAAATATTTTTCTATTTTTGGTCACGTGACCATATTTTCCACACAATCAAGGAAAATATTTTTTTTAGAGGGAGTAGGATTTTATTTTCTAGAGAAGTCACCGTCTATTTCTTTCTCTAATCTATTTACTATTTCTTATCTACCCACCAATAAAAAAAAAACAAGTATAATATTTTTTAGTTTAAAAATTAAATCAATCAAATTCATTTAATTAACAATTTTCATGCAAATAAGTTTTAGGCAATTGAATTATCTAGAATTTATTTTCTTTCAATGCTAATTTCATACTTGCAATCAAAAGATTATTATCTATCCAAAAAATCTGATTTTTTTTATTTTTTATTTTTTGTGGTAAAAGATACTCAAAGTAGGCAAGAATTTTTAGGTCTGATTGTCTAAGGGTTCATTTGACATGATTTTCGAAACTCAAAAATTGGTTGTGAACACTTTTGGTTAATTTCATAAAAATGTTTATTTTAGTTAGAATAGCTTTTTTTAGAGAGAGATGATCCAAAGTGATTTCTTTCAAAAGACAAAGCTTATTGAAAAATTAGTTTTCAAGCATCAATTAAAATAACTTCTTCAAAAATCTTAAAATAAAAAATAGAAATACTGGCAGATGGGTCATAAGCTTGAATGGGATATTTGACTTTCAATTCTCCCTTGCCCTAGTAATCCAAAACTATGATAATCTCTTGCTTTGAGAAAAGTGCAATGGCTTAAAAAAACAGATATGCACATGTCAAATTTAGTTTATAAGAATCAACTTAACCAAATTAGGGTGTTTTAGCCTCTATTTGAGCCTTTCTTTTTACGTTCTTTTTCATTATTTTTTTAAAGTACTCATTTTCAATCACATTCTTCATCAAAATATTATTACACGCACATCAAAAACTTTTCGTTATTTTTTAATAATATTCTTTATCAATTACTATTTCATAATACATTAATTCAAATTACTGGAGCTCAAACGGGGCCTTAATTAGTTTTAAGTCCAAATCCCAAAGTAATTAAAGTAGTCATTTTCAGCACACGAAAGGCCACCCTAGACAAGTTAGTCAAGGAGGAGACTGAGGGTTGTGAATGCAGGTATGGTCATTAGTCAACTATCATGCTTGGTATATTCAACCTTGATGGCCAATAATATGTCCTACTTTCTCTTTTGTTATATCTATTTCATGGGTAGGAAAGAAACAACACTTTGTAGGCAAGATAATTGTTGCCAAATTTCGTGATTCATATTTAATCCTTTATTTTAGTTGGTTTTATATGATGAATCATCGTGATAATGATGGATCTTTGATCAAATCAATTCTAATAATTTCCAAAAAGTATATCGTTGGTTTCTATAAAAAATATGAAAGTTGAAACGATCATAAAGTAAAAATTCGGAGCGTAGAATCCTCAAACTTGCCTTCTGAGAATTTATAAAACTTCTCATCCATTGAATCTTTCGGTAAGTTTAGTGCATTTATATCATTTCTATCCATTTGTCGAATGATTTTGACCTTTTGCTATTAATTCTTTTCGTTCAAATACTTAAATTGTTAAATTAACTGAGTTCCAATCACATAAGCAGTGAATACCTCTAGATATTTTATACAAGGTGACGTTGGCACTTTATTTTGACCAAAAAAATTGATACACGCCGATTTTGAATTATTAAAGTTATTCGATAATATCACATGCACTCTCTCTGTAAAGGTAAATAGAGAAAAAATTGGAACTGAATTTTTGGACGAGCTAAAATTTAAAATTAAATTGGATATAGACTTTTAGTTAGGATTCTCCAATATTCCTAACTAATTATTTGGTTGGTAAACATACAAAAATCTTGTATTATTGTGCTCTCGAAAATTATTTCATGCCTTATTAGTTGGACTATACAGTAATATTGAACTTGATATTGGTGGCAATTTAATATAGTAATTCAGCATTAGTATTGTTTTATAAGTGAAAATGACAACCAAGGTACAAGAATATTATCAACCAATTTAATAAATAAGCGTATGTCACATTATTAATTACCTGATATACGCATCCTTTAATTAATACTTAATACTCTCTCTCTCTCTCTCTCTCTCTCTCTCTCTCTCTCTCTCTCTCTCATGCTAAGTATCAGTTACATATCATATTAATTCATTGAAATTTAATTCAAAAGTTGAGATTTACTAATTTTTTTTATTCATCAATGAATTTATATAACATGTCATCGGTGTTTAGCATAAGATGAATATCAGTACTCATTAGATAACTCTCAAGTGATTTGAGTATTGGATAGCCGTTACTAGATAATTCTAGTTAGCTAAAGGCATGTCTTATTTTGTAGCATTTATAACAATTCGTGGACCATTTTAAAATGGGAATAATGTTATCGTGGATTGCGATTTTGTTAATTAAAAAACGTTTCTACACGTGACATGTCAACAAAAGGAATCAACGAAAAAATAATGGCAAATAAAATATCATTTGGCAAAGACTGTCCGAGCAACTGCCAAGGTGTAGTGCCCTTGGGGAAGCCGTTCCTCATGCACCGGCCAAAAAGCCTACAAACAAGCCGTCACACACAACACTGTAGGTACGATGTTGCAATAATACTTGCATATGACGATATCATTAGTGTAATTTCTTGTATTATATGTCACATGCCCAGTTCTTAAACAACCTTGTCGTGCCACACGGGGATAGGACTTTGCTAGGTCCGTGACAATTTCGTCGTACAAGTTAGTATTTCCAGGAAAAGAATAATATTTTTTTACGTGTTCTTTGCGTTGTTTACATTTTATATTGACACGTGTGACAAGTAAAATTGATCATCTGTATTTATTTTTAATTAGTTAAACGTGGATGAGATTTGTTTGTTAAGAAAGTTTTATTATACTGTTTGAGTTGACAACGTAGCTATCAATGACAAAAGATGAGATGTTTGATTCTATTTTTTCTCTGAAAGAAACCAATTTGTGCTCTACATAGTGATAGTGGCCAATTGTGAGTCTATGAATTCTAGCCTCCGATGTTATGGTATGACTATTTTTCAAACCTTTCCACATCGCCCCACCATCTATTTTAACTTTTTTTTGAGATACAAGTTCGATTTGTATTCGTAGATTATTTTACAAGATATGATAGAATTGATGGTCTGATTTTTTAGACCCTAACATTATTACGAATTTTGAAGTTTCATTGACTATATTAAAAGGGATAATTCTAACACTGAGGTTGTGTTTGGTGAAACGTATTAAACAGTATAAAAAATTTATTTTAACATTATAATAGACAGTAGTAGGTCAATGGTACCGTGTCGAATTCTAAATTAGAATGATTTGGGTTGGATAGCTTTAACTAAACTGGTTCATATTCAATTGAGATGGGCTTAAAGTATTGTTTGTAGATTCACATGTATTTGGAGTGTTGATGAAAATTGACTTGAGGACTAAGCCACTAACCAAATGAAGCACAAATTGGTTTAGTTCATCCACTTAAATTCAATTCAGGAGCTGAAAAGGCGAAGTTACATTTAAAACGGGTTAAGATTTATGGATTATTTCAAATCCCATCTATCGAATACTAAACTAAGAACATGGATTTCGTCCAAATAGAAGAGTCTAGTGGATCAAATTGAATCGAATGGTTATCTAGGCCTTGCAATCGAGAGTCCAAGCCCATAACTAAATAAATTAATTGGATAAATAGCATAAAATGTCTGTACCTTTCACTATTATTTTGCAAAAAGGTCCATGCATTCCATTTTTTTTGGACATTTGTCATCCTTAATTACACTTTTAATTGTGAAAAACGCCCTCTGTCCATTTCCATTCAAATATGCTGTTAAGTGAATGTGTGGAGTCTTTTCTTTTTCTTTTTTTTTAATGAAAAAATATTTTCGCCTTATTACATATATCTCTTTATTTAAGGAGAAGTGTAGCTGGATCCCAATAAAAAGAACTAAAGGTCAATAAAAAATC